GGCTTATGTAGGTTACTATTGATTTGATGAATGCATCTTGTTTAATAATTAATTTTAATGTAGTTGAGCCTCAGCTTAACAATATAGCTGTTCACATTCTTCAAAAGCTATAAAATCTCCAAGTGAATTTTGACCAACACATTTTATGGGTAGATAAGATTAGATCAACATTTATTGATCTCCTTCAAGGAAAGGGATTGCTTGCAGCAGCCAGGTAAAGTAGATATAAAGGTCGCTGTAAATACATGTTTGTGTGAATGTGTCTCTCAGGTGGATGGGAACAGCACCACCCTCAGCATGAGCGTTCACTTCAAGCTGCTGAAGCGCCTGGTGGAGGAGCCCACCTTCAGTCAGATCCTGATCCCTCTGCAGTCAGTCCTCATCCCCACGCTGCCCTCTACTGGCGGGGCGAACCCGGAGCACGACGCCTTCCCCGGACACTGGGCCTACCTGGACGGCTTTGAGGACACCGTGAGAGAGGGGGGGGGAGAGACGGGGATGGTTGTTGTCATAAATAGTTTAGTAGGACGGCGCCTGGTGACAAAAAGAGTTATTTTGAAACACAATACAATACGGCTCCAGACCAAAGTGCTGTACAGTCAAATAAACACACATACTGTAACATACACAAATCACACAGCACAGCTCACACACCATAACACAAGTACAAGTAAAAACAATAGACAATTTAAAAGCAACAATCTAAAAGATGTCAATATGCTGAGGAGAAGACGGTTATAAAGGTTACATTTCAGGCAAAGAGCAGTCATAAAGCAACGTTATGTGATTTTATTATCACAGAAATCTTCCTGAGGTTGGTTATGCCACATAACTCTAACCTGTGTGTGTGTGTGTGTGTGTGTGTGTGTGTGTGTGTGTGTGTGTGTGTGTGTGTGTGTGTGTGTGTGTGTGTGTGTGTGTGTGTGTGTGTGTGTGTGTGTGTGTGTGTGTGTGTGTGTGTGTGTGTGTGTGTGTGTGTGTGTGTGTGTGTGTGTGTGTGTGTGTGTGTGTGTGTGTGTGTGTGTGTGTGATTGTGTGATTATATGTGTGTGTGATTATATGTGTGTGTGTGTGTGTAGGTGGAGATCTTGGCCTCCTTACAGAAACCTAAGAAGATAAGTCTGAAGGGTTCAGATGGGCGGAGCTACACCATGATGTGTAAACCCAAAGATGACCTGAGGAAGGACTGCAGACTCATGGAGTTCAACTGCCTCATCAACAAGGTGCGTGATACTGTAGAACTGCACAATTTGTTATATTGGGAGTCATTATAATATAGCGAAAATAATGACTTGGTATCTTAACCATTTTATTTTTTTAAACAGTTAATATATTGGGAAAGATTGTCATTAAGAAGAAAAAGAACATTTATTTTATTTGTATTATTTATATTACAATTCAGGTGTTCACTCAGTTGTTCCACACACATGCACAGATACACACACACATACATATACAGTACATATATACAAACAGTATACACATGCACACAAAGTTACACCTTGAAAAAAAGGTTAATTTCTCCATAGATTGTTCTAGATTTGTTTTGTACCTAATACATTGGTAACTCAGCAGTATTTATAGTATGTGTACGTGCTATCTGTGTGTGTAGTGCCTTCGTAAGGATGCTGAGTCGAGGCGGAGGGAGCTGCATATCCGTACCTACGCTGTGATTCCTCTCAACGAGGAGTGCGGCATCATCGAATGGGTCAACAACACGGCCGGTCTGCGACACATTCTCACCAAGCTGTACAAAGAGAGAGGTAATAATAATAATATTTTATTTGTATAGCACCTTTCATACAACAAGTGCAGTCCAAAGTGCTTCACATAGACATTTCTCAAAAAATACAGATACCAGTAAAAGACATAAAAACAAACTAAAACTAGCATAGAGTAGACATATGTAAAAAATACATTTAGATTAAAGGTACAACGATGAAGTTGTGCATTAAAAGAAGGATAGTGCAAATTCAACACACAATCAGGTGACAGGTTAAAATGCATTGAGGAAGTGCAGGAGTTTGCTTCCTAAAAGGCTCAAATGTAAAAATGTGTTTTGAGTTTATTTATTTTTAAAGACTTCCACCGAGCTGGCTTCCCTGATGTCTACAGGTATTTTGTTTTATAAAGAAAAACAATAACGGACCAAGGCACAGGGTGCGTACGGGTGCTGGAAATCCTTGAAAATGCTTGAAAAGTGCTTGAATTTGACTTTGGAAAAGGTGTAAGAACCCTGAAGGCAGCTCCCTTGTGGAACCCCATGGAGATACACTCACACATCAAACCACCAGTGAGTAAGATACATGTTATGAAAATATTTAATTTGGTCATATTTGTGGGTGTGTTTTCTAGGTATTAACTTATCAGGTAAAGAGCTCAGAAAGCTTATCCTGCCGAAGACGGCCCCCTTTCAAGAGAAGCTACGAATCCACAAGGAGGTGCTTTGTGTTCGACACATTCCTGTTTTCCACGAGTGGTTCCTCCGGACCTTCCCCGACCCCACATCATGGTACGACCCTAAATGCAACTCCACAATTCATGAGGGTCTCTGTTTCAAAGCAGTGTAAATGATATTATTGTGTTGTGTGTCTGTGTGTTATGATTTTTCAGTTGGTTAAACGTTTAAAAAGGGTCAAGATCAAGTTTGAGGTTAAATTACTGATAAGGTTTACATTTTTCATAATGTAATATCTCTCACTGTGTGTGTTTACAGGTACAGCAGTCGCTCTGCGTACTGCCGCTCCACTGCTGTGATGTCCATGGTGGGCTACATCCTGGGTCTGGGGGATCGTCACGGAGAAAACATCCTCTTTGACTCTTTCACCGGGGAATGTGTTCACGTCGACTTCAACTGCCTCTTCAACAAGGTTTGTGTTTGTCTCAAATTGTCTCAAAGGTCCCCTATTATACTGTTTTTCATCAATATATTACAGGTCTCAGATATATACAAAACATGTCTCTGAAGTGTTTGGCTCCAAACACCAAACAGATCATTGCAGCATCCCATAATCCCCTCTGTTTCAGCCCTGTTTCAAAAGTGCTGATTCTCTGTCTGTTACTTTAGATGAAAATAAGGAGCCCCTCCCCACGCCCCTCTGAGAGATATTTGGTTAGAAAGAACACAATAGTGCTCTAGGAGGAGATTCAGGTGATAAGGTGGGGGGGGGGGTTACCTTGGTTGGTGATTGGCTAATGGTTAGACAAGCCAAACAATCGTTATGACATCATAAAGTGGCCAAAATCTGATCAGCTCATTTTCAGACAGGTTTTTATATAAATGGATCAGGACGAAAAGAGAGAGAATCTTTTTTCCTGAAACTTTCAGAGTCTCTTTACACAGAGTTGATGTAGAAGAGACATGAAGAAGTGGATTTTGCATAATACTGTAGGTGACCTTTAAGTAAGAATGATATATTATAAACCATGAAAGAAATCACAGAATTTGTTTTAAATATAGTTTTAACCTTCTGCTAGTCTTATCTGTACCTGTATTTCTGTAATGCTCCTTCTGTCCCTCTCCATTAGGGGGAGACGTTTGACGTGCCTGAAGTGGTTCCCTTCCGTCTGACCCAGAATATGGTCCACGCCATGGGGCCCATGGGCACCGAGGGTCTCTTCAGACAGGCCTGTGAGGTGACCCTGAAACTCATGAGGGACCAGAGAGAGCCGCTCATGAGGTACACGCCAAAAATATACTCTTGAGTACAAACAAAAATCTATTTTAAAGGCCAGGGTTTAAAGCAAAAAGCATAAACTTACTTACTACATTTGGGTTTAAGGTTTTTCTCTGTCCTAAATGTATATACAGTAACTCCCTTTTTAAAAAGATTCCAAATTAAACATTTCTATTTTTATATTTCCTCTAAGTGTGCTTAAGACCTTCCTTCATGACCCCCTGGTGGAGTGGAGTAAACCAGCCAAAGGAGGACTTTCTAGAACGCAGGCCAACGAGACAGGAGAGATAGTAAATGAAAAGGTGAGTGCAGTCTACGCCTTTCTATGCAAGTATGTTTACACGCCTCAGAGCAGCATACATAATATAACACATAAATGCCATATTTTTGCCATTACTATAAATGAATTGTATATATTTCGCCCTTCTTCTCTGTCAGGCGAAAACCCACGTGTGTGACATCGACCAGCGACTGCAGGGAGTCATAAAGAGCCGGAACAAAGTGCTGGGTCTACCTCTATCCATAGAGGGACACGTCCACTACCTCATACAGGAAGCCACTGATGACAAGCTGCTCTGTCAGATGTATCTGGGCTGGGGACCCTACCTGTAAAACATGCCTTAGTTTACCAAATGAAAGTATTTGAAATCAAGTTCAGGAGAATTTAAAATGTTTTTCTGTTATCCAAAGCCTACACAAAACAACCAGGAGTGCCCTCCAAGGTGGCTCCGAACACCCACGACTGTTTGTTGAAGACCTCTTTATGATTTAACCTTGTATGTTCTAGTACTTCTATCCATGTTAAGTTTCCTGTTTCTGGAAAAATATATAATTTTTGTATTCATTCCATGCACTTGTAATAAAGGATTTGTGTTTTTCAGATTTGATGTTGGAGGTAAATGTGTCTTCTAATCTCTTAACCCTCCTTAGATTCTCTTCAGCAGTCAGATTGATTTAATCCTGTGTGTGTGTGTGTGTGTGTGTGTGTGTGTGTGTGTGTGTGTGTGTGTGTGTGTGTGTGTGTGTGTGTGTGTGTGTGTGTGTGTGTGTGTGTGTGTGTGTGTGTGTGTGTGTGTGTGTGTGTGTGTGTGTGTGTGTGTGTGTGTGTGTGTGTGTGTGTGTGTGTGTGTGTGTGTGTGTGTGTGTGTGTGTGTGTGTGTGTGTGTGTGTGTGTGTGTGTGTGTGTGTGTGTGTGTGTGGTCCAATCAGCTGATCCTTCTCACAGGAGCACCAATTACAGCAAAGTGTTTGCTCATGAAAGCCTTAAGAGGCTGAGAAAGCCTTTGTGAGGTTAGTAGTGTGAGGGATGTTGGATTTCTTTTGTAAGCAGGAGTTGTGTTGTCTAGTCATGCGTTCAGACACTCAAGCGGTCACTGTATTTTTTGTAATTATTTTTCTTATTTTTGTAAATGCCTGGCTGCTGTTCCAGCTTTCTTTTGGATAACAGTATTGTTTTTCTTAATGAAGAGGATCTTTCCAATCCAGCACTGGATATATGGGCTATTTTTGAGGATTTTAAAGATTCACTGTTGTCTTTTTACTTGATGGCATATTGTTTTCGTGTCCTAGAGATTTTCTCGTTGAATAGAATTCACATTTTGTAAATATGTCACTTTTTTTATTGTATCTTTTGTTGGGTGGCTCGGCGCGTTGAGATTAAGTTTTTATTTTGAAAGGCTCTACCGGAAGTTTCGGGGAATCTTTTTTTGTTCTCATTATCGGAGATTTTAAATCATATTTGTTTCTTATTTTCACCCAGGTAAAGACCGTTATCAGATCATATACTCTCATTAATTTTCCGCCAAACGTACTTGTATTTTTTTTTAAACAAAACACGTTGCGGTGACGCTAGCGTTTAAAGCAGCAAATGAAAAGCCCTAAGGAAACGGAGATAACGGTAAAGACAATAATACATGGATGTATAAACCTGACATAAGGCCTGTTTGTGTAATTAAAAAATCAGCCGATACAGCCTAACAGACGTTGTAAACAAACAAACAGCCAACTCGTCAGTGAAGGAAACACACGGCATGTCTGGAGGATAAACCCACAACAACACACGGTGCCTGCTGCTGCACGCGCGCCGTCTTCATGGGTTCGGTTGCTCGGTGATAACAGACTGTAATCTGGCCGGAGGTTAACGGTTGTTGTTGCCATGGCGAGGTCAGCTGCTGGTTGCTGTCGTGGCTCTCTGGGCTTTTTATAGTCCTGCTGGACAGTTCACGTTCTGTAGGACAAACCGAAGACAGCGCGCGACCTTGGAGGACGTTGCCATGGATTTAACGCGGCTGGCTGTGGATGCGGGTCAGTTCATCAACCGGGCCGTTCAGGTAATAAATGAACGGTCATGTAGGAAATAAGTAACGTCAGTTCTAATTAAACACGTTATGATCGCTGTCAATTGTAACCAAACCGTGTTAAGACGTTAATGTCACCCTAAATGACGGGTTTAGGACAACCAGTCACTTTCATAGCAGCAGGTCAATAAAACGATACATTAAAACGTGTTTTTGTTTTTCTGTGATCCGACCCAGTACACGGAGGAGAGTCTCGGCCAGGCGGAGAAAACAGGGCTGAACTCCGGGCTGGAGGAGCGCCTGGCCCTGGTAGAAGCCACCAAGACCTGGACAGACCAGATCATCTCCCAGACTGAGGTTCTACTGCAGCCCAATGCAGGTTAGAAACTGTAAAAAAAGCCTTTTTATTCGTGTAGTTTATTTTAATGTTCAGCAGGTCCTGAAAGTATGTGATGACTGTCAGTTTTTGTTGCTTATTTGACAGATATGCACAGACAGTCGGCAGTCAGAGGGTTAGCTCACATCCAAGCCCTCATGCAAAGTGACTATCAATAATTGGTTTAAATCACATAAAATATTCATCCGTGATAGCTTGCCCATATTAATGAAAAATATGCAAAAATAATATATTTTATTATATTACAAAAACCTATATTAAATGTTCTTTTATAAGAAACACCTTTTTTTCATTACTGAGTTGTTATGAATTGATTATATGATAAGAAAATACATTTTAACGATATTCTAACAGCATCCATGTCATGTATGTAACTCTAAATTAATATCAGATATTATTACTACACTGGAAACATACTGTAGCTTCCATATCATGTGAATCTAACTGAACCCAAGTTGCACACACCTATTTGTATTTCATTTGAGTGTTTTCTATTATCATATGACAATATCAAAACAAATATAGGTTGTATAATATTGTACTGTATATAAGCCAAACAGTTTGCTCTGATGAACACATCCGTTATGGCTGCACCAAACTAAAAACCAGTTTAAAACAAAGACGTGTGCTTTATTTCCAACTAATTGCTACTATACATTTACACTCTACATACAACCACTGAATAATGACTCTGCTGTTTGCTCTTCTACATTAGAAACATCCCCTGTGTGCCCTTCTGTTTGCTCTGCTGTGATTGGCCTGTTCAGATGAATAGGGATGTTATTCTTTTGCCTCCACTTACCTCCACTAATGGAATCATGAGTGGTTGTGGTCTGCAGTCTATCAAATAAGGGGGGCACTCAGATGCTGTAAAAGTAAACTCATGTTTGTTCAGCATCGAGGATATAATTGAAGATCGACCAAGGGCTTTTAGTCTCTATGAAGAATAATCTTTGTTTACACTACAACATATACCTCATGGGCCTATTGCAGAGACCAGCCATTTGCATTCTGTCCACTGTCTCACATTATGTCAGGTGTCAATGCTTGTCCTATAGAACATAGAGGCATGTAGTGGTCATGCTTCGACAATAATTGTTTTCTACTTTTATTTAACAGTGTTTTTTTTAAAGATTTTAATTGTAATCTTTCTATTATATATTTATGTTTTTGACTTTTGCAGTGCTTTTTATCTTAATTGGTTTATTGTGCATAAAATATAAAAACACATTCTCAGTGTTTTTTTAGAGAAGATAAACCTAAATGAAGCTCTTGATCCTTGATGACCAGGAGCCCGGTTGGAGGACCGGCTGTATGAGCAGCTGGACTGGAGCGTGCCCCCTCGGCCTCATGCTCATGAGGTCCTGGGAGACCACATGACCCAGGCTGGGCTGGAGATGGGGTCCAACACACCCTATGGTGAGTCAAAGTCAACTTTATTCTTTCAGTTTGTGTGTACTGTACAGACAGAGAGATCGAAATACCGTTCCCCACAATCACGAATAAAACAAATATAGATAAAAAATAATATATGTATGCAAATATCTATATCCACACAATCAACAGACACATTTAAACATATGCACACATTAAGACCTAAATAAAAGCACAACAATCAATATATACAAAAATAACAGTCACTTCAATATCTGTGTACATTTACATTAATAGGGATAGTATTGACATCAGTAATAGCCAGTGTGTGTTCTTCGATTAAGAACATCAGTATGTTTTGTGTTCAGGAACTGCACTGCTCAGGTTCGGAGAGACTCAAAAACGGCTTGGTGAGACGGAGAGGAATTTGGTCCAAAGCACCAACATCCACTTTCTCACCCCTCTGAGGAGTTTCACCGAGGGAGAATACAGAGCCATGCAGGTGACACACACACACACACACACACACACACACACACACACACACACACACACACACACACACACGCATTGCCCTTCTGATTGTTTGGATGTTATTCCCGGTAATTGCCTCTCTAATCTCTCCCTTTGTTCTATTGTAATGCAAAGTTTATAGATTGTTTGTATACCTAATAGCACAATGAGTAGGATTTTCCTCAACAAAAAAAAAATGTAAAGACCCATGCCAACATAATCCCTACTAGAAGTGTGTGGCGGCGTCTGCCTTTCTCCTTTCCTTTTATATCTGCTGTGTTCTGGACATTTCTGGGCGTCACCCTTTATAAAAACATAGCCACCACATGCAGATTGTCAACATGCAAACAAATGGAAATCTAGGAAAATGGAACACAGGCAAAATTAGGCGACTCTGAGGAAGACTTTTCACCTGCTGGCGAGCACTGTTACACTGTGTTTACAAACCACACATCATACCAATTGTGCCTTGAACATGGCTTTAAAAAGTGTTTGTTTGTTCATAGGATGAGCGCAAGATGTTGGTGAATAAGCGTTTGGACTTGGATATAGCTAAGACCAGACTGAGAAAAGCCCACGAAGCCGACAGAGAGGGCAGAGTGAGTAACGAGTCTTGACCTTCACTTATACAGTAAATATCAGTGTCCTTCAATACATTTAAAGGTCCCCTATTATACGGTTTTTCATCAATATATTATAGCTCTCAGATATATACAAAACATGTCTCTGAAGTGTTTGGCTCCAAATACCAAAAAATCCTTATGACATCACAAAGTGGCCAAAATCTGATCAGCTCATTTTCAGACAGGTTTTTATATAAATGGATCAGGACAAAAAGTGAGAGAATCTTTTTTCCTGAAACTTTCAGAGTCTCTTTACACAGAGGGGACACATGTTGATGTAGAAGAGACATGAAGAAGAGGGGACACATGGTGATGTAGAAAAGACATGAAGAAGAGGGGACACATGTTGATGTAGAAGAGACATGAAGAAGAGGGGACACATGTTGATGTAGAAAAGACATGAAGAAGTGGATTTTGCATAATAGGTGACCTTTAACATACTGGCATCAATTTAAAAACACACCAAAATCCTTAGTTTCTTTTTTTAATCATACAGTAATATTCTCCCATTCCACGTTCCTGCTTTTCTCTTTGTCAGAACCTGAATGCAAACCCGATGGAGGACGACTACATGGCTCACGTCTCTTACATGTTCAGCTTCCTGCGGGTCAAATGGCTAAAGGTCAGTGAACCTAAAGGAACACGAACATTGACAGGCATGGCCGAACTTGCTGTTTGGTCACTGAATTAGTCACTTTTCATTCTCTGTCTCTCTCCTTCCCCAGATGTGGGCTCAGGAAATCTCTCAGGTGAGTCCATGCTTATCGTTTCATGCACACAGGAACTGATACAACTATTCTTCATGCTGTTATAGAGGGAGACATTTTAAATTACACTTCCAGCTGTTATATAATTGTATAGAATAAAGCATGTTCCTGTTATGGCGCGTTTCCACTACAGCGCGGAGCACGGTTTAAGAGGGCTGTGACGTCAGCGGCCCGTCTTTGGTTGCGTTTCCACTTGGCCGAGTACCGGCTGGCGGGTCCTAATTCACAGTTTTTCTAGCCTCATAAAATCGTGGGTCTAGGGCCAGAGACAACGAGGCTGAGTCGGGCTGAGTATGCTAAACTAGAGAGAGCATCGCTGGCAAGGGGGCTACAACTACAACAAGATGGACATATTTGACCGTGATTTAATTGTAATACACGTTTCAAAATGATGCCGAAGTAACAACATACTGATACCGGTTAGTAAAAACCATGAATTAATGCTTTGACAAGTCTGCAGACAGACGGCAGGGGAAAAACCTTTTAAAATGCTTGTTTTCTAAATGGAGATTGGCTAAGCTAACGCAGTATATGCTCCGACCGTCCACACTCACAACAACGGCCTATACAGACATAAATAAAGCAGCGACTGTATTCGCCATGACACAGGCAGTCTGTGGTTTGTACTTGTTTAACTTTTGTCTAGTTTCTGAACATATATGAGGAGCTGTGAGCTCTGAGTGCTAACAGCTAACGGCTGTGTTGTTTTTCTGGGGTTCTCATTGAAGATGACGTCACGGCTCCGCCTACACTGCGTTACTATAGATACTACCCCAGTTCCTAAACTGTAATGGAAATGCGCCATAAAGTGAGCCAGTCCTAACGAGGCCTAGCCATACCGAGCGAGGCCGAGCGGGGCCGTGTAGTGGAAACGCGCCATTAGTTTCAGTGATAGCTTCTATTGTTTGGCTCATTTGGGCTTAGTTCTGGGTATTAGTTTTAGCTACAAAGTTGGACATCTTTAGAAAATATGACCAAAGATGATTTTGTGTGTGTGTGTGTAGGCAGAGATGGAGCTGGGTATCTGTCAGAGTCTGTTCAATCGACAGACAGAAATTACAGGACGAGTTGTGGAAGGAATCAGCAACACTCACGTAGGTGCACACAAACACACACAGAAAGAGAGAGAATTCACATCTCTTGTCTCAACAAAGTTTTGTTTTTATTTCATGGATTTTAGAGTTGTTGCCTCTATAAATGCACTGTGTGCCATCTATCTTGTGTTTTATGTGTCTTGTATGTTGGTTTTCCTTTTTAAAGACCAACCACATGCGGAGCCTGACGGACTTTGTGGAGGCTCAGGCCTGTTACTTCGACCAGTGCAACCAGCACGCTCAGGAGCTTCAGAAGCAGCTGGCCAGGTCTGTATATATGATTCACAACAGATAAAGACTACATTTTTAAGCCTTAGGCTGCCTCCTTGTTCTCTTTCAATATTCTGTCTCAATGAGAGTCCAGTTTTTTCTTAACTAACTACAATTTGCAGTTGTTGGGAAAACACTGAATGTACTCTTCCGATATCAGAGTCCACATGATAACAAAGGTATCCCAACTGTAGCTGTGTACATGACAGGATGTATGATTACCTAGAAGAGCATCAGGACTGTTTGAGGCATATGATAGCTATGTGATTAACATGATGATTCAGCCTCTATGGAGATAGACATATGACAAGCATGATCATTTCTGACGTGGAGCTAATCTGAAGTAAACATTGAATACTGCTTTCTATTCCTCCATCTTGTGACTGTGTAACTCCCTCTCTTGGATATCAGCATGTGAAGGACACTGCTCAGGAACTAGTTGATGCTCTGTATGTGATGACTACTTCCATTCTGGAGAGGATCAGAAATACATGGATCCTGAGATTGAAGCTCAAGCCGGGGACGAGTGATATTTTTCTAACAGCAGTTATACTGGGAAGATTGTGATTTTGAAGCTTCTCAATTTTCTCAACCCATGTAGTGTTTCTTTCAGAAAATTATACTATTTCTTCATCTTAAAAAAAGGTCACAAAACTGAAACACATAAACGTTTATGCTTTGGAGAATTGGGGTTTATACAGGACACTACAAAAATGTCCTATTAATGAGCTCTCATGGAGTGAACATACTTTTTTGCCCATGAAAATAGGAACATGATTTAAACTGTTAGATTCAGAAGCCAAACACCACCTCAAAATGTATGTAGTATGGCATGGGATCCAACTTTTTATATTCCAAGCTATAACTCTGGACATCTGGGCTCCCAAAGAACACAAGACTATTGAGAGCAGTATTAAAAGCAAATGAATATATTTCGCCATTAATGACTTATGTTCTGATTTTGTTTCTCCTTGCAGCATCCCAATAGTCCTCTGCTCCAATAACTGGCAGTTAGCCATTGGTGATGAAGTTACGCAGCTGTCCCCAAACAACCACGTAGCCAATGAGCCTGTCGGGTTAAATCAGGTCACTGCAGTTCCCATCGAAGTTCACAACAACCCAGACTTCAGCCAGGATTCATGGACTGCGAATCCACCGGCCTCCACTGAAAAATCAACAGCTTCCACTGTAACCACACAGCAAAATAACAATCACAACAACAACAACTTATTTTCTGATCGCCCAGCAACCAGCCACTGTTCAGTCGTCAATCAAGCACTTCATCATGTCTCTACAGCTAACTCGGACAGTCATTGCACCAATCGCAGCGCAGCGCTCAGCAGAACAACGAGCGCACAAAACACCGCCGCAACTGGTAGGGGGACAACAACAGTTCCCCCACCTTCTCATCTCACTGGAAATGAGTCTCACAATGGGAATGCATCAGCCAGTGACACCGCAACAACCGATGACATGACAACTGAGACTTTAACAACCAATGGCATGTCGGCTGAGCCCCAAACAGCCAATGAAATTGCAAGCAAGCAAGCAACCCACCATTAACGGAGAAGATGTCCAGGAGTCATCAGCCAGTCAGGATATGGGTCAGTAGCTGGGACTGACATTAGATTGAAGCTTGAGCAGTAATTAGCAGTCTTCTTCAAACAATCAGACTGCACTATAAGGAGCAGATAGACTATCATTAGACAACATTAATTAATCCCATAGGGAAGATCATGTGAAGTGGTTGTAAAAGTGCTTATTTTTCTAAACGTGATATAGTGCCACATTCATTTTAGCCTTTAACCATATAATATTCATGTTGTATGGAAATGATGACTGTTGTGTATCAGTCCCCTCTTGTGGCAATGGCTGTAATATTTTGGACTGAAAAGTGGATTTCAGACTCTTTAGATAACTAACCAAACTAATGAAGCTTTGTGCCAAGTATAAATGATCAGTGTGAAAACATTGATTGATGTTGAAGTGAATCTGTGTGTTTGTTTCCATGTGCACACTGTCGCTTGTGTTTACAGCTTTTGCCAATCTCTTACACCTTTAAAAGGAGAAGTGTGCTGTACCTGTTTGTGACTCTGCCACCTCTGAACTCTTGTTACTGCCAGTTGAGCTCATTTTCCATCTGAAACATGTTACTAACATGTGTTTGTGACTCCGGCCAGGCGCCCAAACACCAGGCTGAACAGGACCTTTATGCTGCAGCATGGGTTAACATATGTTGCCTCATGCACAGTCTGGGTGTTTCCCCTCACACACAGTCAAATCAAAATACGCTCTTTTACCCTTTTACCCCATTAGGTGAACTGGGTAGAAGTTTCCAAGTCCAGATGTTGTTAATTCTCTTTGTGAGGGCAGAAAGGCTCTAACTGTGGTGTGGGTCTGCTCTGGGGACCCGGGATGGAAACACACACACTAATGTAGCAATGACCCTACTGATGTAATCATGAATCAGCGCTTTGCTCTTTGTCGCAATACATATAGATGTGTGTGTGTGTGAATAAATAATCGCTGCCAGTTCTAAACTGTGTGTCCATGCAGTCATGTTGTACGTTGAGCTGATGTCAGCGTGAGGTTTGATTCATGTAAAGATGTGGAAATAAATATGCAAACAGTGAGGTCATTTCAATCCAAGGCAAGTGTGGATCTTTTTCTGTCCGGTCGAGGTGTCATTTCCTCGCCTTTTGCTAGTGCTATTTCTTATAGAACTTACACACACACACACACACACACATTCATTTCCTTGTTGAGGTCTTGATCCTGCTTCCCGGACCAAGACCAAGTTATATTTAAAAACAATTTCTGACGCTGTAATGCTTGGCTTCCTTCACTGATTGCAACATTATGAAAATTGTATCAACCGGATAATTGGGTCAGATGGTGTGTGACGTTCGCCACAACCTCTGCACACACACTGAAACACTACTCCAAAAACGTGTGTGTGTGTGTGTGTGTGTGTGTGTGTGTGTGTGTGTGTGTGTGTGTGTGTGTGTGTGTGTGTGTGTGTGTGTGTGTGTGTGTGTGTGTGTGTGTGTGTGTGTGTGTGTGTGTGTGTGTGTGTGTGTGTGTGTGTGTGTGTGTGTGGCTCTTATTTCACCACCTCTTTCCTGTCTGTGGTTGTACAAACAGATTAGATCAATCAAGCGGCAGTTATGTGATATTGATCCGAGGACGGTCAGCAGGCTCTTGGTTCAATAACGCTTTTATCACACCGCTATATCACCGATACATGTTAGAGGGGCCTCACAGGGGGCACAGCCAGTGCTTAAAGAACAGATTCAATAGTGTTTCATTCCTGTGACTTTCCTCTGACTCAGCAACACAATAATAGATTCTCCTCAATCTGTCCCTAGCTGCTCATGACTGTGTTTCCACCACACTGACACAGCACAACACTGCTATGTTCCCAAATCAGTTTTATAATGTCCGGTACAAATCCTGTCCGTCAGCAGATGCGGCAGATGTCTCTCTCGCTCTCTGTCTCTGGTGCTCTTGCGATTTCCTTCTCATCTGTGAAGCAGGAAGGAAGAGAAAGTTGAAATGATGTTTTGCAGGTCTGGTTGAAATGAGTGAGTTATGGAAGCAGAAGGGAATTGGGATATTTGTAATTATATTTGTCTCGGTCGTTTCCTCTACCTGACGAGCAAAGACACAGACGAATAACATTTCTATGTATAGAGGATATTTTGTTATTTCTCATTCAAGTTACATTTACCCGGTAATTCCCACTGATGATGGAAAAATATGATGTTTGATTTGGTTACAAATATCAATCTGTGACAATATCAATAGTTCAAAATGGGTAGACACTATGCCAATGAATAAATATACGACAAATCCTTATACTTAAAAATCAGTATAAATGTGGTGGATGATATACATTAATCAGACTGAATGGCTTTTATATTAAGTAACTTATCTGCTCTTTCCCTGATCTGTAACAATATATTTAGGCTTCCTTCAAGCATTCGACACAACGTTGGCTTAGATTTGTGTGCATTCAACACACGTTTGAGTTAAGTGACTGCTAAATACTAAAGGCTGACGGTCATTTGTAAAGTGCGTCCATGCGAGAAGATCCCCAGGTATACAAGACTGCATAAAAATGTATATTAATTCCATGTGCTTTAACAGCTATTATTTATTTAAAGAGAAATTAGGTTCTCGAGTCAGTACTGAAAGCCAGTTTCAACTGAGCCCATTGACTTGGACATATACAGTCCTACCTGAGAGATCATTGCTAAACCTGCAGTATTCTTAGCTCAGATATGTATTATTTTGAATCCTAACTGCACTGTTAATAGTGAAGCAATAAGTTATAACATACCAACCAATGAATGCAGCATTTTAACATCATTAGACATCATTATAAGTCAGCTATATTCTTACAATGGCTCTATTGTTTTACAGAATGCTGTATTTCAATCACGTCTCCATGGTTTCTTCCACTCACCTTCCTACATATTGCGGCAATAAAAGGGATACACCCAGTTCTCATTAAAACCGGCCCGTGTTGGCAGACTTTGCTGTGTTAGTGTTAGTGTTAGTTTGCGGTTTATTCATCAGTGCGGTCCTGTTGCTGTTTTTAGCCGATGAAGTTGTGCAACACCCACTGTCCCAGTTTCAACCCAGTTTCAAGACTCTCTGTTTTCGTCAGGATCTTTTTCCTTTCTAATCCTCTCAGGTCTGGATTTAATGAGAGCTAATACACTAGAAATAGTCTCCTTAAATCCAAAGGTCATCCTCTGTCCGTGTCTTTTGCCTCTCCATCTTCCTCTCTCGGCTTTGCTTTGCCAATCCTTTCATCAATCATCACTCCTCCTCCTCATCACTGTGTTTCTGACAGCTACACTGGAGGTGTGTGTGTGCAGACCTGGGTAGTAAAAAGTGTCTGGTGGCTGCTGATAAATGTGCCTTCTCTTTTATGGAGGCATGATCCTGACCTAAATAGAACAAAACATTGAGACCAGTGAGAACAGGATGATATCACCAACTGTTTCTGACATGCATACACTGGGTTTTATATAACACCTGCAAGTTATATTATATAAATGTATTGCTTTCCTAAGGAGAATTATTGCATTTCCTGGTTTCCTTATTTCTCCTAATTATTGTATTTTATGGAAGTGGGCCAGGGAACTGCGCACACTGGAGTGAGAGTGAGAGTGAGGTACTTTTGCTGCCACGAGATAATAAAAAATCAAACTTTCCTCACCAACTATCCTCTCTCTCTCCAACTCTCTTTATGCCACTACTTCCTCTGCAGGTGCTCTCTTTTCCTGAGACAAACCTGCCAGTTTCCACTAGAATAAGTCCCTCTGCTCCAATTGCAAACAGCCAAACAGGTAAAACAAACATAGTTACTGCAGACAGACTGCCATCCGCAGGGGGAACTCAGTCTGGAGGTCTGCAGAGAGAAGGTCGAGGCTTTTCCTCTAACCTTGACACGTCCTTCTTCTGCTGCTTAACACCAACACCTGTTGACCAGAGCCCTATCAGGAAGGAAAAGGTCATTTGGCCTCACTGAGAATTCAATAACTCTTAATTCTAACTTGTTGAATACCTAATCGACCAGGCAACAAAATACAAAAAAAAAACATTTTCCAGAGTTGCTTGGCAACAAAATGTATTTTAAAATGGTAAAAACATACTTCTTATTGCGAGCTTAAATAACAATCCAGAGTCTGAAATGTTGCAATTTATTTTGGTTAAGGGCTCTGGTGTTGATGTGCAGGGAGGGACTCTGACTCATCAGTTAAAGGTTGAGAAGGCAGACAGACCTACAGAGAGTGTGTGGATTTAAATGTCTTACGAACATCATGTAAACTCTGACTGTGAAGGGCTGTGAAATGCAACAAATTGGCTTCTCGCCATAAATAAAAAGGACCTATAAGTCATTAGATCTTGGCCATTGATATAAGGGTTAATTTAATATAACATAGATTGTGTTTCTATATAGTTTAGTTTCAAGTATTGTATAGTAGTTTTGTCCTTTACTTCTACTACTCCCCAAGTATTTTTTTCATCTGTGCCGTTTTCATTTTAAAACAATTATACATTTTGTTCTAATTCAGTTTCTCCGTCTTATTTATACAATTTCTATTCTCCAAGTATAGGAGCTACAACTGCATTTTATAGGGCAATCATCTATTGTACAATTACAACATAGTTGAATGGTGACTGATTTAATAAATGCCCAAATATCAAATGATATGGGGACAACAAATATATGTAAAAAAAAAATATGTATTGTGTTTTTGTAATAGTTGTCTGGGTGAGATGTTATGATGAACAGCAGCATACGTGACAATTTGAGGATAATATAAAATCGTAAAACGTACTGTTATCGTAGTGTAGAAAAGTCATTAATTCAGCGAACTGACCCTGTCATATCAATCGCAATATCTATCTAAAGTTTGATACCTTTAGCTAACTTTATCCAGCATAAGCTCAATAAAGTAAGGCTGTACAGTGGAGGGGAATGACTATTTCTACAACAGCCTTGCTTAAAAGACAGTAATAAAGCAGTGTTTTGTTCTGCCTGGTGGTGGGTCTTTTCTTTCTCCCTGTTTTTCTACTTTTTCTGTTTCCTCGTCTCCTTTCATCCCCCCCGAGCTTTCCCCGTGTCACTGTAACGCTGCCTCTCTTTCCTCATAATGCCCCTTATTTCCCACTCGGTTGACATTTGACATATTACCTCCACTGAAGCATTACTCACCCAACCTCCACAGCATCCCCCTCCTCCGTCCCTCCCTCCTTCACTTCCCTCCTTCTGAGTTTATAAGTCAGCAGCAGCCACAGTTGGCTCAGTGTAAAGAGCTGTACATTTAGTGAAGGGGGAGAAACTGGGTGACGAACACATCTGATATAAACACTTCACATTCGGGGCTTCATCATGCATGTGTTCGGGATGTGGCGTGTGCTGTGTGTGCTTGGCTTTTTTGGAGCATCCTTGTGTGTGAATGAAGTTGAGTTTGAAGGGAACTTCGCAGACAGCTACGACAACGAAATCTCTCAGGATCAGCAAGAGGGTGAGTTTTGTTTATTTGTCCTTTTGTCAAATTTCTCTCTCTGCTTGTTTCAACAGATGGCTCAGTGTGAATAATGTGTCCACAGCTTCCATGCATGATTTCATTCAGACAATAACATTTGAATAAGAATTCTTAAACACACTTGGATTTATTAGCTTTGAATGTAAGTAACGGTGTCCCGCAAGGGTCTATCCTTGGTCCTATTTTAATCACAAAATACATTTTTATTAAATCACCACATTGTCATGTACATTTTATGCAGATACCATCTTAAGCCTTTATAGAAGAGACTATTGTATATTATTTATGTGAAAACTTTTAATGCTAAACACATTTTGCGCTCTCATATCAACTGAAAAAAATCTGATGTCATGTTCGGGGTTGATTTGATTTTAGATGCAAAGGAAAACAGTTTTAAATATTACATTATGTAATAAGTAACAAAAAGTTAAATGCAGTGCTAAATTAAAATGCTTTTATTTCTACAAACGTTGTTACTCATCCCATTTAAAAATATTTAACACCCCTTTCCGCTTTGTTTGAACTTGCATTGCGACTAAAGTTGAAATGATCTGAAACCTGACATAAAATGTACTCTATATTCCTGTTTAAAAGGAATACAGATATTTGTTCTTGTTATAAAGTGCATTTAATATGTGCTATAACATGCTTGTTATATTATGGGACTGTATAACTGATGCATCCCTGTTGTTGTTGTTGTTGTTCAGAAGAATCTCCAGCTACGCCATGCCAGCATGCAGGTTTCTCCCGCTGGGATAAGCTCTTCATCGCTCTGGAAGACTCCCACATGAGGCAGAACATGTTGCTGCAGTCTCTGGAGCAATGCTGTGGAGGAATGGCGTCTCTCAGGACCCAGGTGGACAAACTGGGTAAGGGGACATGTCATCAGTGCCGACCCAGCCTGGAGTCAGCATGCAAGGCACAAGCTGAGCAGGCGAGTGTCAAGCTTCAACATGGCTTGCTGAAACTCCACAGTGAGGCAGAAGAGAGGGAGAGGAGGTTAAACGATACCTTGCACCAACTCATGCACATCGGCCATGACGGTAATGCCCGGTTGAAGCGACTTGAGGAAAATAGAAGCCAACCAACACCGAGACCCGGGGGTTTAGGGGCATTAGCATTTGGCCTGGGGATAAAGCCATTCACGTCAGGAGTGCAAGAGCAGGAAGTTACTCCACCAATGGACACGGCCACAATGGAAAGGGCCCTGGTTGCCATAGCAACAGAGCTTCAGAAGGTTCACCTGCAGCTGAGCAGCGTGATCGAGCGGGCGGGATCACTGAGGAAGGAAAGAGGGGACACATGATTGGCCCAGAGGGGGGAAACGAAATTACAAAATAAGACTGGGGACGCTCCAGTGCTAATGCTTTTGCACATGCTTGTTTTTTAATGTTTGATTTTTATGTAAGCTTGTTTTCGTCTGATGACAATGAATCTAAATGTACCATAAATGTAGTGGGTTTACAATAAAGAATAAAAGCGAATTAAACAATCTAATCGGCCTCATGGAAAGGTTTCCTCCCTCCTCCCACACAGTCAGTTTTAGAACACTTTTGCCCACACTTTATTTGTCAGTGTTTTATCCTTTTATGCACGTGCCAGAGTTTACACCACTGTCTCAATGTTTGTTTAGATGTGGCGGTTTCTGCAGATACCGACAACCGCAGATGTTTTGGATTGTCTTCAATGCAGGGCTTGTCTTCCTCTCATTAGTTGCTTTAAGAGTGTCTGAATGCAAAGAAACCACAATTTACAATGCTCAGGGTGTTTATGATTTGTGAAACCCTGCCAAAGCTATTCCTGGCACAACACACACACACACATTAAGTGTTATAACTTTTTGCAGACTGGAGGTTCTTGCTATGCATTTTTACAGTTTCTGTGTGGTGGTCGCTGGTCCCAGATCACCTCTTTATTCATTTTTAAAGGGTTCTTTTTTTTGTTTTGAGGAGTTTTATTAGCGCTAGAGTGGAAATGGGCAGAATGCTGGGAGAAAGCAGCAAAAGGAAGAAAGAAATAGCTTAAAACTGAGGGGGGAAGACAGGTCTACAGGTTTATTAACCTATATGTGATAATATTATTGTGTAGGAAAGTGCTAATTTGACATTTATAAACCGGTCATAGGTTTTTTTATGTCGGATTTGAACCTGCAGATTTACTAGTTACAGCAATCAGATACATGTGGTAGATATAGAGGTCTTACATAGTAATGAGTAGCATTACATATTATTCAAGTCAATTATAACACCTACAAATTGTGTGACTGAATGCATATATTTCACAACTTGGAAAAATTGAACAAGAATGGGGCTTTTGAGCCTTATGTGATTTTAATTTGGCTAGCGCACTGACATCACTCCAGTATGTTCACTAATGAAATGCTTAACACCATGGCGTGTGTGTGTGTGTGTGTGTGTGTGTGTGTGTGTGTGTGTGTGTGTGTGTGTGTGTGTGTGTGTGTGTGTGTGTGTGTGTGTGTGTGTGTGTGTGTGTGTGTGTGTGTGTGTGTGTGTGTGTGTGTGTGTGTGTGTGTGTGTACACCTTTCCTTATAAATGTGAAGCTGGGCGGAGAAATATGGGCTAAATCTGAACGGTTTTTTTCAGGCCTTTTTCTTAAATGTCACACCTAACAAGATGCAGTAACAGGGATACTAGCTATTTCATGTCAATACTTCCTACTACCCCTGTTCCATACTTCCATACCCAGCATGCACACACACACTTTTCTGTTCAATGCGGGGGCAATTGTGTTCATGAGCAGTCTCCATCTGTGCAGTTTGTGTGAGGATTTTAGTGAATGGAGGCTTAGTCATTTCCTCTCATTCATTTCTTAGCAAAGAGAAAGAAAGCAGGGGCTACTGCTGATGGAAAATAGAGGAGAAGAGGCCGGGAAAACAAGAATGACAGTGCTTCTGTGTCTGACAGGTAGTTATCAGACGTAATGACTGCTCCCCACACATCTTTTTATCTGCCAGCTGGCCAAAAGCAGCACAAAACCCACCCAACGTCAGCCCCCCTTTCTGGTCTGGCTTCCTCCTTTTTCATCTCTGTCATCTGCCATCTCTCCTTTCTCTCCGGCTTCTTATCTGTATGCCAATCCCATCATCTTCCCTCCCTCTCCCCCCATTTATCTTCGCTCTGATTATGAGCCTTGCTTCTCTCTCTTGCCTCCCATCTCCTGTGTTTTCTCTTCCTTGCCAGCCTCCAAATAGATGTCGTCTGTACTCGGCCAAACCTCAGCTGGCTGGTTAAACTGATTGACATTACAGTGTTGTGAAATGTAGCCAGTATATTACGCATACAACAGGAACACACACACACACACACACACACACACACACACACACACACACACACACACACACACACACACACACACACACACACACAGTCATCGGGAGGTGACGGACTGATGGCAGAGTGCATTGTGTTCATCAGAGAGTTTTAATTTCACGTCACATAGTCACTATAACACACAACACAATATTGGCACTTTCTCAAAAGCAACGAGGACAATACAAAATAGATTAAGCTCCAATAAACATTTAGCAGTCTCTTATTTACACTTGATTGAATCTCATGAAGGAGGGGGAAGACCGGGAGGAGTTGTGGATAGGTGAGAAGAGATGTCTATTTGATGGGTGAGTCCAGAATCTCCTCATACTCTTCCCTTTGACGCCGCCCTCCCCCACGAGCCGGGAGCAGCTTTATCGCCACCAGCCAACCGACGCTGAGGATGACCATCACGTTCCCGACCACCTCCGGCGCGGTGGGAGCCAAAGGCAGCACGGCCAGATGCAGCAGCATGGCCACAGGCACCTCCAGACTCTGAGAGGCGGACACCAGCGACGGGTGGAGCCGGGTGAGGGCGTGCGTCATCCCCAGGAAGGCTGCGACCGAGCAGGCAGCCAGGCCCAGCACCAGGCCCCAGGCTTCAGCACTCATGGGCCAGGACAAGCCCTCCTGAAGCAGAAACAAGGAGACCGGGGCGAGCACGCAGCCCGTCCAGCTCACTGTGAACAGAGCTGTGCCCACGCCCACCCTCTCCTTCAAGGAGCGATACCCCACCAGAGCCAGAGCCATCCACAGCCCCGCAAGAGCCGAGAGAGACCATCCGAACGCACCCCGCCAGAACTTAACCGGGTCAGTCTGTGAATCTGAATTGCTCTCGTCTGCCGTGGGAAGTAAGACTAGCCCCAAACCACAGAGTCCTGCCGCTATGGTGATCCCATCAGCCAATCCCAGCCTCTCCTCCAGGAGCAGGAAGGCCAGGATCGCCGACAGCGCCGTGGTGGCCAGGCGCCAGGTCGTGGTGCCGTCTCCGGGAGAAACGAAGGTGAGGGAGGCGTAGGCGCAGCAGAGGGAGAGAGAGTAGGCCACGCCGTAACACAGCAGGCGGAGACGGTAGCCCTGTGGTCCTAACGGGTTCTCCCCCCTGTGCAGCGGGACCGCCACTGAGACCAGCTGCACGATGGATCTAACCAAAAGCAGAAACAGGGGGCCGAGGTGGAAGCGTTCGGAGGCCAGGCGGGTCAGAACAATCAAACATCCGTGAGCCAGCGCCGCACCTAGCAGTCCCACCCAGGTGAGCCGGGACGCAGACACAGACGCCTCCCCGAAACTGGCCAGCTGCTCCCCTACGCCTTTCCCAGACACCTTTGCTGCTCTGGCTCCCCCCTCACTCCCCTCTGCCCCCCCGAGAGTTTGAAGTTTGTTAGCCGTGTCCTTTTCTTTGGAGCCGAACACAGTCAGACGCCACTTCCTGCTCTCCGTCAGCTGCTTCTTGTCTGACGTCTCCTCCAGGAAGGAGCCAAAGTCCTCGAAAGACGGAGCGTCATCGTAGCCCTCGTCCCCCGGTTGAGGGAAGTGCGCGTGTACTCCGGGTTGAGGGGAGTAAGGGGCCTGCGTGGCGTATTTGGCAGTGACGGTGTGAGGGTGGATCTTTACTCTCTTCTTGGAGGTGTTCAGGAGGTGAGTGGACTCCATTTCAAAGCTGCAGTGACGGCAGGCACCTGCGAGGAAGGAGGAAGGACACTTTTAGAGCCACATACATACAGGATATATTTTAAACTCCTGCAAATCCTCTCTCTGCTTTCTCCCTCACGCTGTCCCTCTCTGGGTTGCAGCATCATATCTTATATATTTTTAATATCCAGGATAATAATAGCAGTGACTCACATCTCCCCGTGTGCCTGCGTGTTTGGCACAGATTGTACGTAAGCTCTGCCCGTCACCAGTTTTAATTGTTTTTTCTGCTTAATGAGAGTTCACATTAAGTTCATATTAGCAGAATCATGCAGAGCCATAATGGAAGGAAAACAACATTATCACACTCTTAGTCTTAATGGATAACATGACCTTCAAGGGTTGATAGAGACTGTTTGCAATGTCAGTTACGTAAGCAAGCGCTTCCTGCCTCATTTGTCTGTTATCTCTCTCTTTCTCTTCCAATGTATTTCTCCCCTTGTCTCTTGCCAGAGGCTGTATATTTAAGCAAGAAGAACTGTCATTGAAATGTTCAGCTTGTCAAAACATGTCAGTTTTTACATAAATAGCAATTGAATCCCAGGTGCACATTATGTCTAATCTAATACCTCCTCCTCCTCCTTAATCTCCCTCCCCTTCTGTAATTCATTTCTCCATCTCTTTAACTTTTCCCTTCAAGGTCCTGCTCTACGGATGACTAACTTTTAACTGATGTAGTAATAGCTCTCTGCAGCAGAGTGATACGGCTATGCAGGTGCTGTACGGCACACACCCACTGCTGCATTTCAGGTTGTAAAACACTCAGCAGTCCACTGGTTTCTCTGGGAAAGGGGAATACTTCCAGATTGCACAATGTGTATTCATGCAAAGGCACATGAAGCGTAGCGCTCAGTTATTATCCTGGTATACCTGTATCTACATAATCAATCACAATGGCAATGCTAACATGCTGATTCAGGTATGTTCACTATCTTACTATAACTACTATACCATATATATACTACTCAGTGTAGTGCTCCCTATCATATGTTTCCCATGAATAACCTATCCCTATCTTTTGTGTCCACTTTAATTGTCTTCTCCATGATGGTATGTTTGTGTTTTGATCATGTTGTGTTGCTTTTACCTCTTAGAATATTTAACAAATTGTACGGTGTCCTTGGGTGTCATAAAGGCGCCTTAAATCAAATGTATTATTATACCAGCATGATTAAGTTAGATTAATAATACAAAGTACGGCTGAGGCTGATGGTATAAATGGATAATAAAATGAGTTTGGAAGGTATTTGTTTACAAAGTATTGAACAAATCGAACTCTCAACTGATGATGGCAAAATATTCAAAGTTAAAGGTGGGGTAGGTAAGTTTGAGAAACCGGCTCGAGATACACTTTTTGTTATATTCCATGGAATGCTCTTAACATCCCGATAGCAATGAATATCTTAAGTGCTTTGACAAAAAATCCATAAAAAAATGTCATCTGTGGAAGCCGTAGTACTGTAAAAAGCACG